TATATTAATATTTTAAGTATACATTACCCTTTAAAAAATGTCTAAATAGGAAAGTCAGAAAATTATAGGCATCATTGGTTTACAAAATTGTTGGCTATTAAAATTCCTCAAGGATGGAAACCCCTATGTGCATCATGAATTGCAGTCTTTCCCAAGTAAGTTCCTCAGAGGCCCATATGCTGTCTAGGTGGTGAGGGAGGGAAGAAACCAAGAGATAGGATTCTTTGTCCTAACCCCTGCTCCAGCTGATCATACCTTAAATAGTTCACTCTGTAAAACTCATTTTATTTTTTGAGGTTCCCTATAAGACAAGTTTTTTTTTTTTCCACAGTGCTAAAGAAATCAATACACCTTTTTTTTCCCCCCCTTTTCTTTACTGTGGCTGCCTACATAAGAGTCCAGTGGCATAGCTATTATGCCAACTGGTGGTCCTGAAATCAGTACATCTTTAACCCAACAAAAAAGAAAAAAAAATTCAGCAAGGTAGAGGACAGAGCTCATCTTAAGAAAGCAGTTGCTCATCTAGTCTTTACTGTATCAGGCCCACATTTCTCCATATTACATTATTTATTTGTTTGTTTGTTTGTTTGCAATAGGGCACATGTGCTTGCCAGGGAGCGGGGCGGTGGGGGGTGGTGGTGGGAGGAGATGTGCTTGCTGGAGACAGAGAGAGGAAAGTGAGAGAACACCCTACAGGGTGCTGTAATCCTTTCTCTTCCATTCTCCTCTAGTGATTTTGGACACACATATGCCTGGTGTGTTTTTCAAGACATGAGGTCCTGGATTCAAACCATGCATTCAGCTATGTGGGATCCAGCTGCCTTAACTACCATGCCATGGGCTGGTGGGCCCTCTACATGCAATAATTTTAACAAAATTACAAGTGACTTACTAAAGTTCATACAAAATTATGCCTATTACACATTAAAAACCAGATGTCTCCTGAGCATTATTAAACATCACGGCTGTTTTATTTATTGTACATCAACTCTAGGGGTTTTCTAAGGACTATCTTCAAACAGGACTCTCCAATATCAGAGAAGAAACTCTTGGGGGGACAAGCAGTTAGCAATATGGCTATGTCGCTGTACTCCCATGTAGTTGACCACGGTTTGCGTCCCGGACCCAGTGGCTTAAAACTCATGCCGGGCGCATGCTCTCACCTGAAGATTTGCGCTGCCTAGATTGAACTTGTTATCTTAACAATTTATACACATTTTACAAATGCATTTGCAGAGGTGTAAAAGATAATAGCAGGCACTATAATTCATTTTTATTTTATTAGAAAGAGATTTTTGCTATAGGGCACATATACTTGCTGGAGAGACGGTAACAGACAGAGAGATAGAAAGCAAGAAATCACCCTCCAGAGGGATGGCCATGCTGCAGTCCCTTCTCCTTCATTCTCCTCTCAAGATTTTGGGCATGCACGCACATGTACCTGGAGTGAGTTTAAGCCATGGGTCTGGGACTCGAACTGCAGTCAACTATATGGGAGTCCGGTAAGGTAACCATTATGCCATCTGCTGGTTCCTATCATTCATTTTTTGGGAGGATGTTGTCTCTGATCAGGGAAAAACAAACAAACAAACAAACAAAACAACCCAAAAAAAAAAACCTCTTATGCCTAGAAGAGGTATTAATAGAGAAAACTAAATAGGTAGGGACAAAGGGGTAAAAAATATTCTAACAGTTAATGTTGTTGGGATCTGTCAAAATTAATGATCATCAAGGGTTCATAGTATTCTAGTAAACAGAATTTAAACAGATTACAACAACATTTTTATTTTTAAGAGTGAGATTTTTGCTTTAGGGCACGTGCGTTCGTCAGAGAAATAGACAGAAAGAGAGAAATCACCCCCCAGGGAAGATGGCCACACCACAATCCCTTCTCTTCCATTCTACTCTCTGGACTTTGGGAACGCACCTACAGGAGCCCAATTGAGTTTCAAGCCGCCAGGTCCAGGCCTTGAACCACAGTTGGGCATGTGGGAGACCAGTGTGTTAAGTACAGAATTATAACTACTGTGTTGATAATCTCATCCTTTCAGTATTTTAAACATCTGAAATCTGAATCTTTGACTTGAGACATACTAAGACAGTATGTTTGCTTAACACTGCAAACTGAAAAAATGTATACTTATTTAGAAAATATACTTCTATACATCCAGAATCCTTAAAGGAAGAAAATGACAGTTGGCAAATCCAAAATACATTTATCGTAAGACTAATTTTGGGACCAGCAGTTAGTGTAATGGCTATGTTTCTGGACTTCCACATAGTCGATCGCGGTTCGAGTCTCGGACCTGGTGGTTTAAACTCGCGCCAGGCGCGTGTGCGTGCGTGCCCAAGATCCCAAGAGGAGAATGGAGGAGAAGGGATTGCGGTGTGGCCATCCCCCCTGGGGGGTGATTTCTCGCTTTCTATCTCTCTGTCTCTCTGTCCGCCTGGCGAGCACCGCACGCTATAGCAAAAACCTTTCCAAAAAAAAATAAATAAATAAGACTAATTTTACTATATTTTGAAGACTTGGAATAACTAAACTATGAATAAGTCAGTACTAAAACAGAGATGGATTTATGTAACTGTATGAAACTCTTCAAAACCATCAGAGGAGAATGGAGAAGGGATTGTAGCATGGCCATCCCTCCTGGTGGATGATTTCTCATGTTCCCGCTCTCCATCTCCTTACATCTCTCTGGTGAGTTCACAAGCCCTATAGTGAAAATCTCACCCCCTCCCCCCAAAAAATTCAGTACTATTATTAAATTTACTTTTCATTTAAAAAAATTTATTTCAGACCAGCAGATGACATAAGGGTTACACCACTGGACTCGACCACAGTTTGAGTCCTGGGCCTAGTGGCTTAAAACTTACACCAGGCACATGTGCATGCATGCACAAAACCCCGAGAGGAGAATGGAGAGAAGAGATTGCAGTGTGGCCATCCTCCGCTGGGTAGTGATTTCTAGTTTCTATCTGTCTGTCTCTGTCTCTCTGGTGAGTGCATGTGCCCTATAGCAAAAATACCTCTAAAAAATATGTATTTTTTTAATCTGTCATAATTTACATTAGAAAAATCTTTTAATTTTTCAATGCTTATCTTTTATATATTTGAAATATAATATTTAGGTCCAGGACCTTAGTCTAGTAGTTAAAATGAATCCACATGGCCAACCACTGTTCAAATCTCCATCCTGGTGGCTTGAAAACCACACAAGGCATATATGTGTACATGCCCCAAGACCCAACAAGATGGACAACTGGAGAAGGGATTGCAACATGACCATGCTCCAATGGGGTGCTTTCTCCCTCTCCCTCCGTCTCTGGCAACTTGCATATGCCCTTCGGCAATTAAAAAAAAAAATATGGGACCAGCAGATGTGTAATGGTTATGTCACTAGACTCCCACATGGCCGACTGTGGTCCAAGTTCTGGACCTGGCAGCTTGAAACTCAGGCCAGGCACGTGTGCACACGTGCCCAAAATCGCAAGAGGATAATGGAGAAGAAGGGATTATGGCATGGCCATCTCTCTCGGAGATGCACTTTCTATCTCTGTGCATGTGCCCTATGGCAAATATCTCTCTAAAAAAAAAAGTAATATTCAGAACAGATTAGCTTGACTTTTATACATTTGAAATTATTTTAAAATAGAAATACCAGTATTCCTATGTTTTAGAGTCAAAATAGTATTGTTATTTTGTTTTATACTGAAACCAAAGAGAAATGCTTTAGATATATGTATCAGATGGCTGAACTCATGAATTTTTAAGATAATTAAGTGCTGGAAATTAATTCAGTCAACCTTCACAGATCTGAGAAGACTCCATGACCCTATACTTAGAGTGTATCTCTTGTAGACAGCATGTATTTGGGTCTTTTTTTAAATCGGAGACTTTACTAAATTTTAACGTAATTATTACTATGTCTGGGCATGGGTCTCCCTTTTTTTTGCATTTATTTCTGTGCGCTGTTCTTCTGTTCCTCCTCTCCATTTTTCTGGATTTTAATATTCCTTATAATTCCATCTTAATTTTCCTATTAGATTTTTAGCTATACTTCTTTGCATTTAAAAAAAAATATGTATTGGGGATTACAATGTACATCCTTAGCTTTCCATCATCTACATATAGTTAATATTGTGCCATTTTACATAAAATGCTGAAATTTTACTATGATATAGAGATCTATATCCCACATTTCAGGTATCTATAAGACTTCAAAATGTGTATAAGAATTTAGATTAAAGTATGAGTATTTTGGTGTAAAAACATTTTTTACACCAATTGTTGTTTTAAAAATCCATGCGGTTTTTTTCCTAATACACACCATGAACTTTTTGAAGACACCTCCTATACTACAGTTGCTTGATATATCTGTCTGATACAGAAACTCTATGAAACTATAATTATTGCTATAAATAGTCCTATTACTGGGACCAGCAGTTGGTGCAATGGCTATGTCACTGGACTCCCATGTAACCAACTGCAGTTTGAGTCCCAGACCTGGTGGCTTAAACCAACCGCAGTTTGAGTCCCAGACCTGGTGGCTTAAACTCACGCCAGGTGCGTGTACATGTGTGCCCAAGATCCTAAGAGGAGAATGGAGGAGAAGGGATTGCGGTGTGGTCAGATTTCTTGTTTTCTGTCTCTTTCTGGCAAGCACACGAACCCTATAGCAAAAACCTCCCCCCCCCACAAAAAAAAAAAGTCCTATTACTATAAAGAGATTAGGAGACAAAAAAGCAAAAAAGCTCAGAGTAGCCTTTGTAGCCCAGTGGTTAAGGGAGCCAGATCCCTCTCACATGACTAACTGTAGTTGAAATCTGAGCCCCAGAAGCTTAAAAAATATGTTGGGCGCATGAGTGTACCTGCTCAAAATCCCAACAGGAGGGAGAAATGGAGAGGGGATTGTGGAGTGCCTATGCCCTATTAGGGAGTGCTTTCTCCTTCTCCTCCTCTCTGAGCCTCTCTGGCAAGCATATGCATGTACCTTCTGATGATTGAAAAGAAAATTCATTTGCATTTACCCAGAGATTTATCATTTTCAACAACACTCATTCCTTTTTGAAGATGCACATTTCAATCTGGTCTCATTTACCTTCAATATGATGAACTTTGTTTTAGTATTTCTTTAAGTGCTGGTTTTCCAGTGTTAAGTGCTCTTAATATGCTTTTTATCTGAAAATGCCTTTATCATTTCCATTCTTTTTTTTTTTAAAGAGATTTTTGCTATAGGGCACATGTACTTGCCAGGAAGGCAGAGACAGACAGAGAGACAGAAAGAGAAATCAACCCCCACAGGGGTTGGCTACGCCACAATCCTTTCTCCTCCATTCCTCTCTAGGGATATTGGGCATGAATGCACCCATCATGAGTTTTAAGCTGCCCTGGTCAACTACGTGGCAGTCCAGCAATGTAACCATTATGCTATCTGCTGGATCCTGTATTGTCATTTAAAAATATACATTTTTTTCAATCCAAGTTGGTTAAATCCATGGATGTGGTGAAAGGCTGACACATTTTTTTTTTAAGAGAGGTTCTTGCTATAGTTCATGTGTGCTTGCCAGAAAGACAGAGAGACAGAAAGCGAGAAATCACCACCCAGGGGGTTGGCCACGCCACAATTTCTTCTCTTCCATACTTTTCTTGGGATCTTGGGCACGCATGCATGTACAGCATGAGTTTAAGACACACAGTCTGGGACTTGAACCACGGTCAACTACGTGGGAGTCCAGCGACGACGTAACCATTACACCATCTGCTGGTCTCAAGGCTGACTCCCTTGATAGCTACATGGGGCCATAAAGAATGTTTTGTTTTTGTTTTTTGGCCATAGGGTATATGTGCTCACCAGAAAGAGACTCAGAGAGAAAGAGAGGAAAAGTGATAAGTTACTCCTCAGGGGGACAGCCACACCATAATCTCTTTTGCTTTATTCTCCCCTCAGGATTTTGGGCACACAGACACACGCACCAGGTGTGATTTTTAAGCCATGGGTCTGGGACTCAAACCACAGTCAGCCATGTGAGAATCTAACACCTTAGCTACCATTCTACCTGCTGGTCCCTTTATATATTCTTAGTATATTCCTAAACAATTTCGTCATATTCTTAGTAAATTCCTAAATTATTTGTTATAAATAATAAGGCACTACAGAGACCTACCATACAAATTAGGAAAAAATACAACTAACCTTTTTTCCTGAGTTTACACCTTTTTTCTTTGGTGAGAGATTTTTAAAAGGACCACCCTTTTTGGTAAATGAAGTACTTCCAGATGCTTTAATTCGACTGGATTTCCTGATCTGCTGTGTTGGTACCACTAGAGCAGTTTTCTGTGGAGATGGCATTGAATGCTCGGTCTCTTCAGAAGGGAAAGACTGCTGTATTTTCACTATATTCTTTGTAATAGGAACTAAGGAAAAAACAGCAACGAAAATGAAAATAAATGACATAATTAATGTACTATCTTATTATGACACAAAAGAATCTTTAAAACCATTCCTCAAACCACTTAAAATACAAGTACCATTTGAAATGAAGTTTTAGGCATGTTAAGGTTCCATATTATCTGAAAATAGTTTAATTCTGCAGAAAAAATAAAGGAGCTTTTATAAGAGAAAATGGTAATTTCAATTTAATACAGTGAAAATGTCTAGCAATTTAAATTTTGTCTGTTTACCATATTTGTAATTCTTACCACAGAAAAGAGTCTCTCCTTCAGAAAACACTATTCAGTTATACCATGTACAGGAATCATCTTGCCCACCAACATAGAAAAACATAGGAAAGCAACTACCTATGATTACTGGCTGCTTAATCTTTCAGAGGCTAGGGGACTCCCCTGCTCTTGACTTCTTTCTGGTTCTACTGAGGTATAGTGACAAAATTATATGTGCAAGTGTGTGTGTATGTGTACATACATGTTTGTGTGTGTGCACATATATCTATATCTATATATATTATGTTCAAGTTATTTGTAGCTACCAGTTACCTGGTAGCCAAATCCAGAGAGTTTTAATATTTTGAATAAAGGTTACCTGCCAGGTTACTTTTGTCTATGCTCACAGTTAAATAATATATTAAAAAAACTACTGTTGCTTCCTAATCTAGATTCCAATCTGAGGAAACTACAAACTCGAAACCCCAGTTTTCATTATTAATATTATGGGGATAAAACCCACTAAGAAAAGTTTTTTAGGATAATTAAGTTATAAGCACAGCATTACCTCAGGAGACTCATAGAAGTCAAATAAAAATGCCTTATGTTCAAAGTAAAAATAAAAAAGCTACTTTTAGTATTTTTCCCTTAATGATTTCATTATTACAAAAAATGAATTTCACAAAATAAAAAGTACTAGTAATAAATACAAATTTTTTTATAGAAAGAGTTGTGGAAGTGAAATATTTATACAGCTATGTAAAAATCAATAGTTTTATTCTGAGGCCATTTTACAACCTGAAACCAACCCACTACTTTGTTCTTCCCATATTCAAAGGCTATGTATGTGCAAATATGATTTAAAATAGAGAATATTGTCTTTTCTGTGGCTTTTAAAAAATCTACCTTTTGCCAATTACCAAAGCAAGAGGAGGGGACAGCCTACCCTCACCTGCCAGGGCAAACAAAGGACCACTTAACTGCCATCATCTCTTTCTCCTTCATTTGTAAGTATTGTAGTTCACCTACTTGCACCAGTTTCTGCTTACCTCATTACTGTCATTTACTTCACACTCCAGGCTTACTTGCACTTTTTTTTTTAAGGTTTATGCCATAGTGTGTGTACGTTCACCAGAGAGAGGCAAAGAGAGGGGAAAGTGAGAAATCAACCCCCAGGGAGGATGGCCAAACAGCAAACCCTTCTCCATTCTCCTCTGGGTTTTTGGGCACACACGCACTCGCCATGATTTCAAGCCACCAGGTCAGGGATTCAGACCATGGTCTGCCATACAAGAGACTAGTGCATTAACAAGCACCTGCTGGCCTTCACATGCACTTTTAAGAATAATTCCAGTAATATTTTTAAAGGACCTTCTAGGTTCTATATATTTTTTTTTTTGAGAGTTTTTTTGCTATAGGGCATGTGCACTTACCAGAAAGACAGAGAGAGACAGAGAGACAGAAAGCAAGAAATCACCCCCCCAGGAGGGATGGCCACGCTGCAATCTCTTCTCCTCCATTCTCCTCTCAGGATCACACACGCACATGCACCCGGCGTGAGTTTAAGCCACTGGGTCTGGGACTCAAACCGCGGTCGACTACACGGGAGTCCAGCAACATAGCCATTACGCTAACTGCTGGTCCCCTAGGTTCTATATTAAACCAACCTGGCAAGGAATTTGAACCCAGGTCTAAAGCCCTATCTACTACTCCTCTTGTAATATATTCTGAATTAGGGACTGGAAATATAGAGATGAAAAGATTGGAAAAGAAAATTAAGATATATATAGATTTATTAACTAGGAAGGGTCACTAATGACCTTGGAAAGAATAGCTTGGGAGAAGAAAAGCTTATTACAGGGGTTAAGGAACCAGAATAATAAGGAAACTGAAGTATCAAGTATACACTATTCTTCTTGGTATTTCAGTAGTGAGATAAAGGAGAGTGTTCACTCAGGCTTGGAAATACAGATGCACCTTAACTTCTGATGGGGTAATGTCTTGATAGACCATCATAAATTGAAAGTATGGTTAAGTCGAAAATGGATTCAACACATCTTACCTACCAAGCACCATAGCTTGGCCTACATTGCATGTTCTCTGAACATTTACATGCTGGCAAAACTTTTTGAGCCTGAAGATTTAATCTTACTTACTTCCAAATGGTACTTATTAAACATGCATTTATGCTGACACATGAGAATGCTTTATTATTATTGTTTTTGAAGAGGTTTTTGCTATAGGGCGTGTGCACTCGCCAGACAGACAGAGTGAGACAGAGAGACAGAAAGCAAGAAATCACCCCCCAGGGGGACGGCCACGCTGCAATCCCTTTTCCTCCATTCTCCTCTGGGGATCTTGGGCACGCACACACACATGCCCAGCGTGAGTTTTAAGCCACTGGGTCTGGGACGTGAACCACAGTCAACTACGTGGGAGTCCAGTGACTTAGCCATTACGCTAACTATTGGTCCCAAGAGAATGCTTTATTATTGAAAGATGGTGCTTGCCTTCTCTGAACTTGGAAAAGACACCAGCACATATGACTACTGAAGGAAAAAAAATACATACTTAGAAATGGACATCAAGCCCTTATTTCCAGTTACTGTTACATGCACCACTGATTTAGCTTATATACTGCTGACCTGAACAGGAATTTGAGTGGGTAAGAAACAGAAATTTATATGTATCTTGCTTTTGATCTAAAGACTTAATCAAGGTATAGTTGCTCACTGTTTTCCAGATTTTCCATCTAGAAACAGATAATACCTAGTGTGTCCTTTTACTAGTCTAGCCAATTTAGGGGAAAAAAAAGAATACTGTCCTGGTCATATAGTTCATATCAAGTATTTGTGTATATATAAAATTCCTAACTCCTAAAGTAGATAGGTGCATATTTTTCTACTCCTCAAATACAGTAAAACTTATATATGTGACCATTTGATAAGAGCAAAATTTATCATAAAAATAAATGGTATAAATTTGAGAGCAGAAATAAAATAAAAAATTGAACAGCCAAAAACAGAAGAGCAAGGTAAGATTTACAGAAACTGAAACAAGATTCTCTTAAAAAAATATGTCATTTGTAAACATTTGGCTTTGGAATCTTTTTCAGCTTTAGAAATTCTTTGTAAGTCATCTTATTCTTAAAACTGCATGTACAATGGAAATATCATTTATACTAAGGATCTTTCATACTGAGGACAGACGTCTGACTGCTTTTTCCTAATTTTCTAAAATCCTTTCCAAAGGGCCTGGAGAGAGTCATGCGCACAAACATTAACAGACCTTTTTGACCCATTGGTAACAGATTCTTCCTACATCCCACTCCTGGCATAGTACCTTTGTGATATATATTAAGTCTCCTTATCTCTGTTAAAGTACATTCTTTTATGATCTCAGCAATCTTTTTTTTCCAATCGCCAACCTAAAAACTGTAAACCCACGTATAACCTACAAGCCCACCCCCCATGTCCTGCCTTTTGGCCCAGACCAATAGAAAAACTTCGCTAAGTTTCAAGCCCTGTCTCTCACTCTCAAATCAAATGAAAGAAACCCCTGCACCTGATCAGAGTGATGCCCGAGAAAGGCAATGTTTTGCCTCCTCTCTAAGCCTAGGTCATTCATCTTCTGCTTAAACATAAACAACATTAATTATTATTTTTACAGAGTTGGTTATTTCCATCAACAAGAGTGCAACCATGAAGGGACCAGGGATGAACCGAAGATCTTCCCAGGGGTTGCTTGGAATCTAGTGCCTGGTACCAGCAGTGGGCCCTTTGTGCTCCCTCTAAGTCCAAGCTTCTCCCTAGGGGTGATTCAGTAGGTTCACTGGCCCAAACCTCCGAAAAACTTGGTAGATGGTCTAGCTTATTTCTAGGTTAGTTTTTGTATGTCTGTTTATCTGTTTCTGGGTAACCCGGTTTGCTCCCCTCCAGGGGAAGGGGTAGCAGTTTGCTCCCTCCAGGCAAAGAGATAGTGGTCTAAAGGGTCTTCCTCTTTTGCCTTCTTAAAATTGTTTCAGTTGGCTGCTCTGCATTTGCACTGGAGAAATCCAACTGTCTTATTCACAGACAAATTAGAGACTGAGCCTCTCAGTTTTGAAGATAAAGGACATTCACTCCTTCCTGCAGGTAGGCACTCTAGGTAACTGGAAGCCATAAAGGGAATGTCTGGAGGGGGGAAGATTTCCTAATCTTAGGAGTAGCAGCCCTACAGGGAATCCCAAGCATAGGCCATTCCAGTAAACACAAAATAAGAGCACTCAAGCGTTTTGGGGCCCTCTTCAAGGGTACTAAATTATTTTTAAAAATATTTATTTATTTATTCATTTTATTTTAATTTGACCAGAGAGAGACACACACACACAGAGAGAGAGAGAGAGCGCAAGCTACCAGGTCCAGGACTCAAACCATGGTTGGCCATGTGGGAGTGTCCAGTGCCTTAATCACCACACCACTGACTGGTCCCCAAGGGTACTAAATTCTTAAAGGGACCTGAGACACAGAAGAGTAACCTTGACAGAGAGTGACATTTAGTGGAGACCCTAAAATGCCAGTTTCTCCTTTTAAAAACAAGCAAATGTAACAAAAAATAAAAATAGAAAACAAGACATCTACAGTTTAAGAAGAGCAAAGAAAACTACCCCTTTTGGATATCACAGCTAACTTTATGTATGACATCTATAACGCCTTGACCTATAAGTATTTAGATTTAAAAAATAAAAAAACTTAGTGATCTTAGTTAAAATTTTC